CCAACAGGCCCAACTGGACCCCAAGATCATTCAAACCACGAACATTCAAAGACGCACAGACAACAGAGGGCGCCATCGGGAGAACCTCAGGACACCCCCAACCCAACGCGTCCCCCAGGGGACACAACCGCACCCGCAGCGGGAGCCACATCCACACCACCAGGCTCAACCCCCTGCCGCACCCTGGAAGACGACCGGCCAGGAACCGCCTTCAAAATCACAGGAGATACACCATGCGAAGAGGGCGCCCCAGGCGTCGAGGACACCATCCACAGTTTTTCCACTTCCTCCGCTGCCCCGAGCCCGACACCACGCTCAATGCCCCGCTCATCCCCAGATCCCGCTTCCGAAGGGGGAGGAGGAACCACTGGAGAAGCGGAGGGAGGAGCACCAGCCAAAGGCACACCACCCGAAGCCTCGATCCTCTTCCCAGGGGGGCCCCTGCTGCGCGACCGATCCCTCGGAGCGCGCTTTCGTCGAGGAACAGAAGAGCCCAATGCAACCACAGGAGGCACAGCACAAGCGACAGCAGGCGGCTGCGCCACGGCACCAGCATCAGGAACACCGCTAGGCTGGCCGTCAGGAGACACAGTATCAACACCGCCCCTGGCCTCGGGAAGCACACTGGCCACTGCACACGGGTCGCCCTCCGGCACTACACCACACACGTCGGATTTCAAGGAGACACTCGGGTCGCGATGTACCTCCGCCGCCACCAGCATAGGCGCACCCGAAGCAGGAGCCGCGAGAGCATCAGAGTCAACAGACAGAGCAGAGGACCCAGCAGCAGACGGAGAGGTAGGGACAGCTGGGGGCGCCCCAGCCTCCGGCAGAAGTGGAAAATCATCCGCATGGAAAACCGATGGGTCCTCCGGGCGAGGGGCACGGCAAGCTGCAGCGAAATGGCCTACCTCACCACACCGGAAACAGGAGCGAGTCTGCCCCTGGTAGAACACACGCACATAAAACCCACACACAGCCACCCGAGAGGGAATAGCCCCAGAGAGCCGCATGCGCAAAGTACGGGCACCCATACGGAGCCCCTTCAGGCGCCCACTAAGCAGACAGGCATGACGCTGCCCCACCACCTCACCATACCGACGGAACGCGGCGGACAGCTCCTCCTCAGGAAACTGCACCGGCGCACCATGAACGCTCACATACGTCAGGGGGCCCCACGGATCGGAGACCTCCACCGTCACAGCAGAACCTGGAAGTACATGCGTCCGTGTACCCCATCGACGCACAAACAGCTGATACACCTGCGCCGAGGAGAATGTCACCGCCACCCGGGTAGGGGAAAGTTTCTCAACACCGTAGAGATCTTGGTACTCAACACGCATGACATCCATAAGGGCAACCTCCACCAAGGGCCAGTCAATGGGGGCCGAGAAATCAAGCCGGGCGGTGTCGACCCGGCGAACACGGCCACCACTAGTCGACGCCATGACACCCGCCAGGCCCCGGCCAATGGCCGCACCACACCGTCAACAAGACGACCACCACGCAGCAGGTACAGGTCAACACTGACAGCCCGGGCCGAACGTCAGCGCCCTCCGGTAGCAGAGCGGCGAGTCTTCACCTTAGAGAAGTTGGTACTTCTCGAATTAGCAGAACGAGAGTGTTTATCAGAACCAGCTTCACCAACAGTTTCCGAGGACAACAATTCTGATCCACCGATCAACCGCCCCACTAGAGCTGCTTCTCAACAATGCAAACGGAAACTACAAGCCTATTATAACTCTGACTAAGAGCAAATAATTTCCCATCCAATTTGAGTAATCATGATGATACTGTGCTGTGATGTCAAGTAACAAATCGTTAAAAGTCACAATGACCCAGAACATTCTCATCACAGTGGATTCTCAGTTACTTTAAATTGTATGATTTAATTCTTAATTTGTTGTATAGGCTATTAATAATAACATTTTTTCGTCTAGAGTATCTAAGAGTTTGCAAGACTTTAAGACTTAGTAACATAAACATTACATGTCATAGCGACACCAGTCACAGAGTTTATTGTAGGCTTTATTAGTCATTAACTTTAGATGATTCCCAATAACATGTTCCATTCAACATGAATTTCTTTACAAGACTCAAATTTCTTGTATGTCCTTGACAATTACGGGACATCCGTTATGTGTGTACTAACATACTAACATTATTACTAACTTCGGGATAGGTATGTCAGTACTCAACATTGCACTGCGACCCGAGAAATCTTTCCCCGGAGTTATGTTGGAAATTTCCAACACTAATACAATACTATTGTATTATAATAAATCATTACTATTTTATACTAACTACAGTAGTCACTAAATTTACTAACAGTAATAATAACATAAACTAACCATTATATCTGCGTATTAATGCTAGAATTCTTACGAAATCAAGCACCAATATTGCGTCAGATTATATCTAGTTAAACACATTTATTGACAATGTGCTAGAGAATTGAATGTGGTTCTCTAAAATCATCAGTATTCTGTGTGATAATTATTTACGGATAACATAACTCCCAAATAATTATAAATCGAGAGTTTTTAGTTACAATTGTTATCAAGTAATAGTTTTTTTGTCACGCGTGAATGCCATGGAGAAAGCTATAATCTTCTCCATTTCTCGTTTACCACCATAAGACGAGAAAGCAATAATATTTAAATCTCTAGAATCACAACCCAGTTCTTATTAAAGTATTTCAACCACAATTGCGCGAAATAGTATTATTTGTGATAAATAATTTCTGTGGTGAATGTGGGACGCGGGTTGGAGAGGAAAGAGACGCCATTTTTGAGGCTGGTGTTGCGGAGTGAGCAGCCAGCGTGCGTACTTGGACAGAGGAAAGTCGTGGCGTCAGAGTCTGAGACACGTGACGTTGGGATTATCAGCAAGAATTACACTGATACTCAACTTATAATGAATAATTATTCTTCCACGTGCTCCATAGTGCTCGGTCAAACAATGACGCGTCGAGAATCAAGCCAAACTCTCAATCACGTGTACAACATCGTGGAAGTTTGAGACCGAGACGCGATATCGGCAGACTTCAGCATATACTACGCTCGTGCTAAGTATATTTTCTTTCTTGATGCATCATTAGAGATTGTATATTTCATGGGTAGTCTGTCGTTACATAGCGGGACGACAACAAATCCAATGTTAGTACCGCATTAATATTCATTTTCTATTTTCATAAATTTTGAGATTTAAGTAGCCTAGTTCAATGTTACGTAATATCCTTTAAATTACAGCTCGTATGTGAGGAGTCAACGAGTCGTTAACTACATTCGTGTTATTCACCTCTAATGGCTTCTATGTGGAGATCCTGAGATCACGAGGACGAAGCACGAACGATGTCATAGAAATCGTCTTAAAGCTAAGACTTTTTGTACACATTTAATTATTCCAATTTATTATACATATCCATAATATTATCATATCGAGTACTTACTATATGAATTTGGAGATTGGTGTGTTTACTTAGATGATTGCTCTTTAATTCTAACAATCATTAATATTCTCTATTTGAATTTATCTATTGATTCTATAATATTTCTATTGATTCTATAATATTTTTGGTCATAATATTCTTTACTAAACAATGAACTGGTGACGAACCACACTAGTTCCTAGACGTATATGAAGTTCTAGCAATACCCCCCCAATGTAGGTGTTTGAGGCTCTGACTTTAGTTAATTAATCATACAGTCCATTATTTATTTAAGTGATTATTCTTTCTAATATTTATCCATAGACACTGGTTCTTCCTTGTATTTCTAATGATCACTTTTTATTAGTTTCCCTCTTTTCTCAAAAGTGGGTGGTCCTTCGTTATTAAATTAAATAATTAAATAATTGAGTCAAGCTCCAGATATCCCACAGGTGTTACTGAACGTTACTGAACGGTTTGTTGTTTTTGAGAATTGTATACGTTGAAAATATTTGTATGTTGTTAGTTTAGTTCTGGAAATTTCAACGCATATTATGTCATGATCTTGCGTTGGGGTCTTGAAGATATTAATGGTGAAACAATTGAGACACTTGTCGGTGTCACAGACTCTGATAACACAGACTCTGTGTTATCTCCTTTGTTTAATATGAATAGGAGGTAGGCTGTTTCATTCATCCCTCTGCTCAATAAGCCATCTTTGGCTATACACTAAAAATAGTCGGTATGAATAAACAACCTTTGGCTGAGGGCACTAACAATCTTTCTTACAATTTAATTGGTCTTTACTAAAAGAAGTTGAACAAACAAGTCATTCTATATTTAGGCGAATAGAGAATGAATGGACATAAAAGGTATCTTCTGCAGTTTTATTTAGGTGACATGATTGAAGGAGGCAAGTGGACAAGCGGGTATAAAAAGGTGATAACATTAGGGTATATTTAAGCAATATATAAGTATATAATTTATTTTGGAAATCATATGGGTAAATACACGTGTGAACATTGCGCTTTTTCCTTGCTTCATATGTATAGACCTTCTGCAGCTTTTATTCCATTTCATAGTAGTTGTTAATGATTGGATCAACATGGGTGTAAATAAACAAGATACTGTATGTTCTTAAAAGGCTTTCTGCAGTCTCATTCTTATGTTTAACATACACTCTTTTAAGCGGAAATAATCTTTCAAAACTGTTCTTAAATTAAAAGATTCCCCCATTTTTCACCTGCAAGATAACATAAGCTTTTATGGGTTGACAGATGTTAATCTTCTTGTTTGAGGAGCTGTTTACTTGAGACAGTTAAGCAAGTCCCAGCTGTGTCTGGGGTACCAATGATAGGATGAACAACCCAGCGGGTTTTCTTCCTATTGGGGAGTGTCGAACATGCTGCTATGGCGGTTGGTCCAATCACAAGATGAGTGGCGCTGCCCAATAAACTTGCCCCTCGTGGCAAAATTTAAAAATTTAAAATCTTTGAAAATGGGATTTAATATTAAATCATTGAAAATTGGATTAAATATGCATATATGGAAATGGACTTAATGAGGGAAGATGAAGACTGGCTGGCTATCCCTAATTTTGCCTCAGGCACCCGCCTGGACGTCATTAGAAAATATGGTTGGCTGGATCCGTGGGGTCGCCCAGGTACCTAAAATTAGGAATGACGGGAGGGGACCGTTCAATCTTCTTGGGGGGGGGGGGGGGGGGGGGGGAGTAGGAGACGGAAGATAGCCACTTAATTAAAAACGTTTAGAAAAGTATACATGACAGAACGGAGCAGCCAAAAATTATATGAAAATATAAGGAGACAACGGGGGTGCAGTCACCAAGTGAAGGAGACTACGGTGTCCAGTCACCAAGTGAAGGAGACTACGGTGTCCAGTCACCAAGTTAAGGAGACTACGGTGTCCAGTCACCAAGTGAAGGAGACTACGGTGTCCAGTCACCAAGTGAAGGAGACTATGGTGTCCAGTCACCAAGTGAAGGAGACTACGGTGTCCAGTCACCAAGTGAAGGAGACTACGGTGTCCAGTCACCAAGTGAAGGAGACTATGGTGTCCAGTCACCAAGTGAAGGAGACTATGGTGTCCAGTCACCAAGTGAAGGAGACTACGGTGTCCAGTCACCAAGTGAAGGAGACTATGGTGTCCAGTCACCAAGTGAAGGAGACTACGGTGTCCAGTCACCAAGTGAAGGAGACTACGGTGTCCAGTCACCAAGTGAAGGAGACTACGGTGTCCAGTCACCAAGTGAAGGAGACTATGGTGTCCAGTCACCAAGTGAAGGAGACTATGGTGTCCAGTCACCAAGTGAAGGAGACTATGGTGTCCAGTCACCAAGTGAAGGAGACTATGGTGTCCAGTCACCAAGTGAAGGAGACTATGGTGTCCAGTCACCAAGTGAAGGAGACTATGGTGTCCAGTCACCAAGTGAAGGAGACTACGGTGTCCAGTCACCAAGTGAAGGAGACTATGGTGTCCAGTCACCAAGTGAAGGAGACTACGGGGTCCAGTCACCAAGTGAAGGAGACTACGGTGTCCAGTCACCAAGTGACTGAAGACTACGGGGTCCAGTCACCAAGTGACTGAAGACTACGGGGTGCAGTCGAAAAAAAATAAATTGCGCCCAGTAGGTTCCTTTTCAACTACTCCAGTACACCGAGAGCTGCTCCAATACCAATATACTGAGAGCTGCTACAATACCAATATACTGAGAGCTGCTCCAATACCAATATACTGAGAGCTGCTCCAATACCAATATACTGAGAGCTGCTACAATACCAATATACTGAGAGCTGCTCCAATACCAATATACTGAGAGCTGCTACAATATCAGTATACTGAAAGCTGCTACAGTACCAGTAAACTACTAGCTGCTGCAGTACCAGTATACTCAGAGCTGCTACAGTATTAGTATACTCAGAGCTGCTACAGTACCAGTATACTCAAAGCTGCTATAGTACCAGTATACTGAGAGCTTCTACAGTACCAGCATACTGAGAGCTGATTAACTCTTATACTCCCAGTTGGAACACTGGGTTATTATAGTATACTCAGGTGACGCAGTGTTACTGTACTACAGCCATGTGACGCAGGGTTACTGTACTACAGCCAGGTGACGCAGGGTTACTGTACTACAGCCAGGTGACGCAGGGTTACTGTACTACAGCCATGTGACGCAGGGTTACTGTACTACTGCCAGGTGACGCAGGGTTACTGTACTACAGCCAGGTGACGCAGGGTTACTGTACTACTGCCATGTGACGCAGGGTTACTGTACTACAGCCAGGTGACGCAGGGTTACTGTACTACAGCCAGGTGACGCAGGATTACTGTACTACTGCCAGGTGACGCAGGGTTACTGTACTACTGCCAGGTGACGCAGGGTTACTGTACTACAGCCAGGTGACGCAGGGTTACTGTACTACAGCCAGGTGACGCAGGGTTACTGTACTACAGCCATGTGACGCAGGGTTACTGTACTACAGCCAGGTGACGCAGGGTTACTGTACTACAGCCATGTGACGCAGGGTTACTGTACTACTGCCAGGTGACGCAGGGTTACTGTACTACAGCCAGGTGACGCAGGGTTACTGTACTACAGCCAGATGACGCAGGGTTACTGTACTACAGCCAGGTGACGCAGGGTTACTGTACTACAGCCAGGTGACGCAGGATTACTGTACTACAGCCAGGTGACGCAGTGTTACTGTACTACAGCCAGGTGACGCAGGGTTACTGTACTACAGCCAGGTGACGCAGGGTTACTGTACTACAGCCAGGTGACGCAGGATTACTGTACTACAGCCAGGTGACGCAGGGTTACTGTACTACAGCCATGTGACGCAGGGTTACTGTACTACAGCCAGGTGACGCAGGGTTACTGTACTACAGCCAGGTGACGCAGGGTTACTGTACTACAGCCAGGTGACGCAGGGTTACTGTACTACAGCCAGGTGACGCAGGGTTACTGTACTACAGCCAGGTGACGCAGGATTACTGTACTACAGCCAGGTGACGCAGTGTTACTGTACTACAGCCAGGTGACGCAGGGTTACTGTACTACAGCCAGGTGACGCAGTGTTACTGTACTACAGCCATGTGACGCAGGGTTACTGTACTACAGCCATGTGACGCAGGGTTACTGTACTACTGCCAGGTGACGCAGGATTACTGTACTACAGCCAGGTGACGCAGTGTTACTGTACTGCAGCCATGTGACACACTAGATTACTGTACGACAACTAGGTTAAGCACTAGATTAATATAGTACACACGAGTGATAGAATGAGTTACTATAGTAGGCCCCTATGACACAATGTGTTACTATAATACAACCAGGTGAAGCACTAGATTACTATAGTACCGCAAGGTGACGCTTGGTTACTGTAGTCTTCCCAGGTGACACTGGATTACTGAGGCACACCCAGCTGACACATTGGGCTACCCCAGTACCCATTGAGTAACTTTTCTCCAAACTTTGCATCACTAATTACCTGATACTTCCAGAGCTGCGCACACTGTACGTCAGCCGCCGCCGCCGCCGACGTCAACACTGGCCACGTGCTCTGTAACGCACCGACCCCAACCTTTTGTTTATGATCCTACCTCCCCCCCTCACAAAGACGCATTGGTATGTTTTAGTGATTGTTTAATTCAATTTATTGTTCATTTTTTTAAACAATTGTATTTTGCGTACAGTTAGGCCTAGAAGAAGCATTGTTAGGTGTTCAGGTTATGTTGTCAATTATTTTAATTTGTAGTATGTGAAAGGAGGTTTTTAAATGCTGCAATTCGAATAGCCAAATGGGAGCGAAACATTGAGGAAAAATTGGGACGTCAACAGTTGTGAATCAAGTGGAGTATTTTTTTCGTTTATAACTGAGGGTTTAATGGGTATATTAACGAGCATTATTGTTCATGAGGACTTTAGAACATAAGAATAAATGTAACCGCAGAAGGCCAACTGGCCCATACGAGGCAGCTTCTAACCACCCAATCCCACTCATATACATGTCCAACCCACTCTTGAAACAATCAAGGGACTCCACCTCCACCACGTTATGCGCTAATTGGTTCTACATATGAACAACCCTGTTACCGACCCATTATTTTCCCAGGTCTTTCCTAAATCTAAACTTGCCCATTTTATACCTATTGTTTCGTGTTCTGTCTTGTGTTGATACTTTTAATACCCTATTAAAATCTTCTTTGTTATGTCCATTCATCACTTGTACACCTCTATCATGTCAACCCCAACTCTTCGCCTTTCCAGTTAATGTAATTTAAGCTTCGCCAATTTATCTTTAAATGACAGGTTTCTAATTTCCGGATTAAATTTGTCATACAACGCTGGACGCGTTCTAGTGAATTTATATCCATTCTATAGTACGGCGACCAAACCTGAACTGAATAATCTAAATAGGGCTTAACTAGAGCAAGATATAGCTGAAGAACCACACAAGGTGTCTTATTAGTAACACTTCGATTAATAAATCCTAGTGTCCTCTCAGCCTTATTACGAACATTTAAGCATTGATTTTTAGACTGGCTGCTCTAAATGTTTCACCCACTGTTTCCAATATAAATAACTGCCAAA